CTGACAGGATTTTAAATGTTCAAAAACTATAATCCCAAACCAGAAGGTGAGTGGAAGGAGTTAACTTTTCATATTTAGCCCTAAAAGTCTGATCAATTCTACACATGTAGATGCCGTAAAGTCATGGAAGATTCACTTTAGGTCATGAAAAAGTCATGGAAAAGTTTAGAAATTTTGTCAGTGACAAAGAACGGGAACGCTGTATTGTGTTTTTAAACTCTGTACACCTTCAGGTTGAGTTCTGGTTTAGACCGGGGTTGGTCCTGGTTTAGTCCTGGGTTAGATCTGAGTTAGACCTGGTTTAGTCTTGGTTTAGTCCTGAGTTTGTCTCTCTTCCTGTTCCCTGTCCACGTTGCATCATCTGCCCAACGTGATTTAGACCTGGTTTAGTCCTGGTTTAGGGAATCATTTGGATTGTTTTAGCCCTGGAATTGCCAATCTCTGCTGAACTAAAGGTGAAAAGGAGCTGTTCACTTCGACCAGAGCATTTTGAGCGTTGGAGATGTAAACAGACGGTTAAAACACGTGTGAATGAAACAAAACACAAGTCCAGGTTTGTTTTCGAGGAGGTAAAAACTAGAGCCCGACCGATATATCGGTTGGCTGATATTATCGGCCGATATGGGCACCTGGAGGCATATCGGCTTCGGTCGATATGCTTGCTGATCTGGGCCGATATTTCACGTGGGCATGTGATACGTCGTTATAAATCTTAGACTCTCTACATTCTGTTCATTTAATCCAGTTTACAGACAGATAAATGTCCTATATGTGGCTCCACATCAGTATTTATCTACAGAGTCATTTGTCTGTGTGTGTCCGTACTGTCCCTGAACACACCACAGAGTCGCGTCACTCACGTGTGTTTGTTTACACCTGCAGACACAGATCCAAACACTGAGATTATTTTCTTTTTACGGACAATTGGTTTGAGTCTGGATTAAAAGGACATTTATTAGTTCAGACTTGTGATGTGGGAGGAGCCTGTGTGACGCTGAGTGTTGGAAATATGTCGACTTTGACGCTAGTTTTGGTTCTTTGTTTTTGATTAGCTGCTGTAGCTCCCGCACATAAACAGACTGTTTTCTATTGGTCTGTTGTAAAGTGATTATATTGGTCGTATATTTGTTACTGGACCTGCACTGATGTAAATGAGCTGTGAACAGACGTGTGAATTATGACATTTGCACATATAATTAATTATCACGTATTTACGGCTAAAGGCTAATAGCGCTAGTTTCTTTACTAGTTATGGGTCCGTCACGATCGAAGCGGCTCTTAGAACCGGCTCTTTGAAGCGAACGACGGGAGCCTGATCCTTATTGGGAGCCGTGTTTTCTCTTTCTCTCACTTTTTTTCTCTTCACGCCGCGTGCAGACTCGTGGTTTGACAGCGGCAGCGACTGAAAACGAAACTTTGAGAAATTTGCGTGTACATAGGATAAAAAAACAAAAAAAACAAAAAACGAGCATATTTTGCTGTAGTTTAGCGTAAAATAATAAGTCCTGGTTTAGTCCTTTTTCAGTCCTGGTTTAGACCTGGTTCAGTCCTGATTCAGTCCTGCTTTAGACCTGCTTTAGTTCTGCTTGCAACAAAACAATCTGAAGAGCCGCTTGGGAGCCAAAAGAACCAGCAGCTTTTAGTGAGCCGAGCCAAAAGAGCCGGTTCTCCAAAAAGAACTGGAATCCCCATCACTAGTGTCTAGAATGTGATGCAAAAATGCCATTAAGTCCGACTGTCTGTAAATATGATGTAAAGAGGCAGAAGAACAATAAATGTTGCCTAAATAAACCCAATTTAAAATCCACCAGAGCCAAACCTAAGTTTTTTAAACAATTCAACATTTACAGTGGATTTTTACATCACTAAATATATCGGCAGCTCCAACTCCCATTATATCGGTTTCATATCGGCCACAACAAAATCCATATCGGTCGGGCTCTAGTAAAAACATTATAACACGACTTAAATCTCACAAGAGTTCGTTTTTTTGTAATACGGACCCTTTAATACTCGTCCGTTCTCTCTGTAAACTGCTCTGAATCTCTAAACGCCGCTTTAAACCTGTCACTCCGAGTCCCATTGATCCGGCTTCTTTGTGCTCATGTCTCTGTCAGCGCCGATGTGTTTATGACGCTCGAGTCCATCTTTCTTTTCTCTTCTTTTCTCCACTTAATCCGGCGCTCTGCTCGGTGCACGCCGCCCGGTACGGACCCGAGAGTGACAAATAAACGGTTCCGGGCGGCGTTTAAGACTCGCTGCGCACAAAAGGCCAAAAGGGGGCGGTAAACAAAAATATACTGTAATTAGAAGAAGGGTTTCAGCATGTTCTCTCTGTGTCTGGGTGGGCACATGTCAAGGTGCTTTGACTTACAGTTTAAAACATGAACAGTAAGATGCTGCATTTGCTCAGCTTTTTGGAAAATTTTTTTGATAATCAGTCTGTAACTAGTATCAATTTTTTACACTTGTAGTAAAATTACACGAGAAATGCCATGAAATTCTCTTGATGTTTACAGGGTCCACCAATCCTCTGAAGTCTAGTGTCTGCAGAAGCTTTAAATCTGAGCTGAAAAATCTGGAAAATCTGAAAATAATCTGAAAAATAATTAATATATCCCTATAGTATCAATGGAAGTTAAATATAAACATGGACATCGTGGATCATTTGGTGCCAGTTTTATGTCTCGATCATCATTAGTTTCTGAGATATGGCAAAAGTGTCATTTCTTTGGGACTTCAAGGACTTGAAAAAGCAGTATTATTAAAAATATATGTATTAATTAATAATAAAAAATATTATATTTTTAAAAAGTTATTTGAGAAAAACAGATTTTTTTGCCAGAGCTTTATGGACGCCATTAGGATGGAATTTAAAAGTCTTGGTGGACCCGATTGAGCAAATATTACACAGATTTTCTTTTTATTGGTTTTGTCACATTTTAAAATTTGGTACAAGTTGAATTTGTGATATTGAGGCAAATGATGCGAGTCATCCTGCTGCAAGTCATGACAAATGCAGTCAAAAACGATAATCGAACAGCAGAAAGAAAGTTTGAAGTGAGTGAGAAACTTGAGGGACTGGTGGAAAGCACGGACGGCTCTCGATTTACCGTCAGTCTCTGTTCCTCCCCTCACCTCTGGTCATTAGCTCTGGGTAACGACCGAAAGGACCAGATCACAGAGACAAGTGACAAGTTTCCTCCGTAGGGTGTCTGGGTGCTCCCTGAGAGACAGAGTGAGGAGCTCAGTCACACAGGAGGAGCTCGGAGTAGAGCCGCTGCTCCTCCACGTCGAGAGGAGCCAGTTGAGGAGACTCAGGCGTCTGTTCCGGATGCCTCCTGGGCGTCTACCTCAAGAGGTGATCTGGGCATGTCCCACCAGGAGGAGGCCCCGGTGAGACCCAGGACACACTGGAGGGACTATGTCTCTGGGCTGGCCTGGGAACACCTCAGGATCCCCCAGGAGGAGCTGGAGGAAGTGTCTGTGGAGGGGGAAGTCATGGAGTCTCTGCTCAGACTGCTGCCCCCGTGACTCAGCCCTGGATAAGCAGAAGAAAATGGATGGATGGGGATGGAGAACACGACTTCACAGTAACCGGGAGGATGCACCATGAAACTTTCCTGAAGTCACTGGACGGATGGACAAAGTCTGGACTTCAGTGACACTGAAACCATCCTGTCGAGATTCAGAAAGACACGAATAATTCTAACTGGAACTGACGCCGAGTCTGACGACAGCGACACAGAAGAGGAAGCGGCGTTGAAGCTCTGTTTACCTCCGGAGGTCGAGGTCGAGTTGTTCAGAAGTGACACCGAGGATGAAGAATTGAATGGATTTAGTGATTTGGAGTGAGATGGAGAGTTTGTTAAACTTGTTCTGTTCTGTTGTTTATGTTATAGTTTATCTGAAGAACTGTTCATATGTGACGTTAACAGTCTGTTCTTCTCTCTTCTGTTGTTTTTACTACAACTTGACTTTACACAGGAAATGTCGGCTCCTGGTCTCTGATTTTATAAAATACATTTCCCCCAAAAAGTGCAACTTATATATGTTTTTTTCTTCTTCATTTTGCATTTTTTGGCTGGTGCAACTTACACTCCAGAGTGACTTTAATCCAAAAAATACTGTATCAAATATTTATCTAAGACAGGAGAGTCAAACTCATTTTGTTCCGGGGGTCGTATCCAACCGACTTTGATCCAAAGTGTCCGGATCAGAAAACTCATGTCATATAAACCCCAAAAATAACAATAAGTTCAAATATTTGTGCAGAGAAACACAAATCTATTACAGCAATCCTTTTTAATTGATGAACTCTTTCTTTTACAAAATATTATAATATTATGAACAACCTGAAACTTCAAGAAAAATACAATTTCAACACAAAGTTTTAACATGAACTTGTATAAATAGGAATAAGTCAAGTTTTTGTTGTAAAATCCTGCACTCGGCTCCACTTTTCTCATGTTGGACATTTTTCTGATGAGGGTGTCACGGTCAACAGTCAAAACGATCGTCCTTTAAGAGCGTTTGGAAAGAGACAAGTCTTCATTTGTGCTGCTCTGGTGGGAGGGGCCACGTACAGAGACGCTGGAGACGCTGCTGTGATAAACACCACAGAAAATTAACAAGATTTTAATAAAAAATATAATTAAAATATTTTAGTAGAAAATCAGCCAAGGGCCAGATTAAAGGTCTTGGAGGGCCGGATCTGGCCCCCGGGCCGTATGTTTGACACCTGTGATCTAAGACTTGCGTTTGAGTCCAGTTCAGCTGCGCGATACGTACGATTTCAATTTTAAAATAATAATGTTTTTTTTTTTACAGCTGTGATGTTTGTTTGAGTTGAAGCTATTAAACCCTGTTTATGACTCGACCTTTTTACCGTTTTCATATCAGCGACGCGCGGCTCAGATCCGTCCAATAATCCTGATATTAAACCGAAGCCGATCTCTGTTAATGTGGTGGAAAATTACGCCCAAAACACGACGGTGACGGAGAATATTTAGATTCAAATTTCCCGAAAATGAGAAAACCCGTTCTGACCTGTTTTTATATTAAATTGTCCATTTCTAATTCATGAGCCACGTCCACAAACACACGGAGACGCTCATATCATCTGCCTTTTAAATTCAGCCGAGACGAGAGACGGGGGGCGACAGGTGCAGACAGGAGCAGAGAGGAGCGGAGAGGAGCCAGAGGAGCAGAGAGAAGAGCCAGAGGAGCAGAGAGAAGAGCCAGAGGAGCAGAGGGAGAGAGCCAGAGGAGCCAGAGGAGCAGAGAGAAGAGCCAGAGGAGCAGAGAAGAGCCAGAGGAGCAGAGAGAAGAGCCAGAGGAGCAGAGGGAAGAGCCAGAGGAGCAGAGAGAAGAGCCAGAGGAGCAGAGAGAGAGAGAGCCCAGAGGAGCAGAGAGAGAGAGAGCCCAGAGGAAGCAGAGGAGAGAGAGAGAGCCAGAGGAGCTGAGAGTGAGAGAGAGAGCCAGAGGAGCAGGAGAGAAGAGCCAGAGGAGCCAGAGGAGCAGAAGAGCCCAGAGGAGCAGAGGAGAGAAGAGCCAGAGGAGCGAGAGAAGAGAGAGAGCAGAAGAGACCAGAGGAGCAGAGAAAGAGCCAGAGGAGAGAGGAGAGAGGAAGCCAGAGGAGAAGAGAAGAGAGAGCAGAGGAGCAGACAGGTTCAGAGAGAAGAGCCAGAGGAGCTGAGAGAAGAGCCAGAAGCAGCAGGAGCCAGAGAAATGAGCCAGAGCAGAGCAACAGATCAGAGAGAAGAGAGGAGCCAGAGAGAGCAGAAGAGCAGGCAAGAGAGAGAGAGCCAGAGGAGCAGACAGGTTCAGAGAAAAGAGCCAGAGGAGCAGGAGCAGATAGTATTAGACAGGAGCAGACAGGAGCAGACAGGAGCAGACAGGAGTAGACAGGTGTAGAAACGACAGGTGCAGACTGACATCTGCAAACAGACAGATCATGTTTCGTTTCTTTTGCTTTTTGATTTTTTACAAGAGAGAGGAGCAGAGGCAAAGGAGCAGACAGGTGCAGACAGGAGCATATCTAGAGGAGCAGACAGGTGTAGACAGGTGCAGACAGGAGCATATCTAGAGGAGCAGACAGGTGTAGACAGGTGCAGACAGGAGCTACTAGGAGGGGACAGGTGCAGACTGACATCAACAAACAGACAGCGCAAGTTTCATTTCATTTATTTTTATATTCAGCGAGAGAGAGAGAGAGAGAGGAGCAGACAGGAGCAAAGCCAGAGGAGCAGACAGGTGCTGCTCAGGTGCACAGACAGCGCATGTTTTATATCATTTACGTTTTAAATTCAGCGAAAGGGAGAGGAGTAGATGGGAGCAAAGACAGAGGAGCAGACTGGAGCCCAATCAGAGGAGCAGACAGGTGTAGACAGGTGCAGACAGGTGTAGACAGGTGCAGACAGGAGCCACCAGGAGCAGACAGGTGCAGACTGACATGTGCGAACAGACAACGCATGTGTTATATCATTTACTTTTTAAATTCAGCGAAAGAAAGGAGCAGAGCCACAGGAGCAGACAGGTGCAGAATCAGGGGAGCCGGCAGGTGCAGACAGGTGCAGGCAAGAGCAGAGCGCGCAGGTGCAGACGGACATCCGCAAAAAGACGCCGCAGGTTTCATCGTTCATCGTTTACCTTTTCAATTCGAGAGAGAGAGGAACAGGCAGGAGCAGACAGGAGCAGACAGGAGCAGAATCAGGCAGCAGCAGACAGGTGCAGACAGGTGAAAACAAGTCCAGACAGGAGCAGGCAAAGAAATCGCAAAAAGACGGCGCAGGTTTCATCGTTCGTCGTTTACCTTTTAAATTCGAGAGGAAGAGGAACAGACAGGAGCAGGCAGGTGCAGGCAGGTGCAGGCAGGTGCAGGGTTGACGACGCCGGGGTCACGTCTTAAAATGAGGCCGTATAAACGCTTCCCGTTGCCCGCGGCGATATCCGAGGAAATATGACCCCATTATCGGAGTGTCTGTTTGTGCTGGGAGCTAATGCAGGAGACAATATGAAGACCACGGCGGCTTAAACGTCTCATTGGGTTTCAGTGTAAAGAGGCGCTCGCCGTCGCAGGGACCCGGCTCGTCACGGCCACCGCTGAGGCACCGCGGGCTCGCCACGGGTCTGATAAAGCTGCACGGTGTAACTTTTTTCATGGAGATGTCATTGGGTCCGTTTTTCACAGGATGTATTTAACTATTCATGGAAATTTGATGAATCAGATAATTTAGACCAGTAAACTCGAATTTGAACACAGGGACTAGATGGACTAACCAGAATTAACCAGGATAGACCAGGACTAAACCAGGACTAGATCAGGACTAGACCAGGACTAGATAGGACTAGACCAGGACTAGACCAGGACTAGACTAACCAGGACTAAACCAGGACTAATCTACTGAACCAGGGACTAAGGACTCTAAACCAGGACTAGAGACTAGACAAGACTGAACCAAACTAAACCAGGACTAAACCAGGACTGAAAACCAGGACTGAAACCAGGGACTGAACCCAGGACTGAACCAGGGACTGAACCAGGACTAAACCTGGACTAGGCTAAACTAGGACTAAACCAGGACTAAACCAGGACTAATCCAGGATTAAACCAGGACTGAACCAAGACTAGACTAAACCAGGATTAGTCTGCAACCAGGACTAAACCAGGATTAGTCTGCACCAGGACTAAACCAGGACTAACCAGGACTGAACCAGGACTAAATCAGGGCTGAACCTGGACTGAACCAGGACTAAACTAGGACTAAACCAGGACTAAACAAGTAAAATCCCAGGTCTAACAGGGTCATTAAATTTAATTTCATTAACTGCATAAAATTTTCTGAGTCTGAATAAAATTATGGAACATAGAAACTGTTTGTTTCTGTGGATACGTCTTTGCTCTGCCTTGAATGTTCCGCAGTGTGACATTAAACAGCTCGACTTTACATTCTACAGCTCAAAAATACCTCAAAAAACGTTCATTGTGACTGTGAGCGGGTTCGCCTCTCCACAGATCTGACCTGTAACTTGCTCTGGTTTGGTCTCAGTGAAGATAGAAAGGTTTAAAGCCATACTGTGGAACATTCTAGACCAAGAAATAATAAGAAATCTCCATGGAGAAAAGCGTTTGACGAAGCCTCTACCAGAAAAAAATTACAAAATGCAACATTTAAACCAAAAATAAGAATAGATAAAGTTTGTTTATCTCATTCAAATCATTTTTTATTTATTTATTTTTACTACTTTTAAATTTTTTTCTATCTTACTTCATATATTTGATTTTTCTTATGTATTTAAAATGTCAAAAGTGGTAAAAATGAAGAAAAAAAAGCAGAAGATGAGTCCAAACTTTTGATTTCAGAGCGTTTGACGAAACCTCCACCAGAAAAAAATACTCAATGCAGCTTTGCAACAACTACAGCATTGAGTATTTCCAGACAAAACAGGTCAAAAGTCACATGGTTTTCAGTATTATAATCTTTTTTTTTTCTCTCTCCTCAGCCTTCATCGCCGCTCTGTACATCGATAAGGATCTGGAGTTCGTGCACACTTTCATGAACGTCTGCTTCTTTCCTCGACTCAAGGTAAAACTCACTACGCCGTTTCATTTATTTTACACAAACACGACGCGATGGTTTTTTAAAAGACGAGATTGTCTTTGGATTGAGTTATTTCTTCATTATAAAGAAGAAATGAGATGTTACTGCTTTGGAATGTTTCACAGTACGGCATTATTAGGGTCGTTCAAGGCTCCGATTACGCAGACTTTTCAGGTATCGGTGACGACTCGGAACAAATCAACAATCGAACACTTAAAACACGCTCCTCCTGACAGAAAAGACGTTTGTGTTTCCTGTTTGGTACTTTCGTTTGGCCTTTAGTGTGGGTGCAGGGGTCGGGATCGTACGGCTCGCGATCCAGGTGTGGCTCTTTTGATGACTGCATCTGGCTCGCAGATAAAACATCAAATACAAAACTAGACCAATTTACCACCTGTTTTTTGAGGTATTTTTGAGCTGTAAAACCTGCACCTGATTGAGTAAATGTAAAGTTGAGCTGTTTAAAGTCACACTGTGGAACATTTTAAGCAAAGCAATGACGTATTTATCGAAACACGCAGGCGACAGACGCTCATCAGTCTGGAGAGAACATTTCAGAAAGCCTTTTGACTTCTTTTTTTCAGTAAATATTCGATAAATAACTTTTGGGAAAGCGTGCAGAGTTCACATTTCAGACACTTGTTCCTGTCACTGCTTTTATGTGTTTCTTATGTTCAGCGTTTTCCCTCATCGACGGCCTTCGCCTCTGTGTCTCTCGATCAATAAAATCACCTCCTAAATGCGGCCAGCTTCCCCCGATAGCGTCGCTAATGGCGGCGCCGTAATGGTGCGAGCATCGACGGAAACCTGAATGTTCGCCAAATTGTTTCTATTTTAGTCGCCGTGAATTGGAATCGCAGGCATGTCCGCGTTATTGGCGAGCTAATCTTGCTTTGGCGTTTTTTTTTTTTTTTTTATTTATTCTTTTTTCCTCCCCCAGCGCATTGATCCGTGAACTATTTTCCGCCGTGATAGCGCCCTGCCCCTCGGTACCGTATCGAGCTCGGGGCTGCGATTGGCCAGATGTTGCGGGAGATAGTTGGGGCTGTTTTGAGAGCATTTTGTGTTTCCTTTTTTACGGTAAATACGAGTTTGAGGAGCACTTTCGGATAATCTGAGGCCGATTAGAGACGTCACGCTTCGGTCTGGTCACCGCGCTGTGAAAGGCACCGGCGCCATCGCAAAGGTCAAAGCTGCAGGAGGAGACGCGGGCACCGAAAACACTCTAAAAACTGAAATAAATACTCTGAAAGGACCTATATGACACAGAAATGACTCCTGTGAGATGTAAGTCGTGTTATAATACAGATCCCTCCTCAAAAAACAGACCTGGAGTTGTGTTTTCATTCATTCATACATGTTTGAGTCTTTTTTTTTTTTTTTTTTTTACAGCCTCGTCTCATCTCGGATCGTCGACGTTTGTTGGACTCGTTTTGTCTCGTCTCGAGTCTCTTTGATCTTCTCAGCAGAGTGATAAAATGGAGATAGATTAATAAAAAGACATTGGTTATCATTTGTGCTAAATAACTTTAAAAGTACAAATGTACGATAAAATGAAAATGTAGAAAATGACAATCGAAAGTCTTCAGTGTACTGGGTCTGTGTCGTCCTTTAAAATTATCTTGTCTCGTCATTTCTAAAAGTCTCGGTTACTCAGTCTTGTTGTCTCAGTCTTTAAAAGTCTCGGTCTTTGGTCTCAGTCTTTTCAGTGTCTAGTCTTTAAAAGTCTCGGTCTTGTCTCAGTCTTTGTCTCAGTCTTTAAAGAAGTCTCGTCTTGTCTTGTCTCTCAGTCTTTTCTTCTGTCTCATCTTTAGTCTTTAAAAGTCTCAGTCTTGTCTCAGTCTTCTAGTCTGTCTGTCTCGTCTCTTTGTCTCAGTCCTTTAAAAGTCTCTTGGTCTCAGTCTCTCCTTGTCTTTTGAAGTCTCAAAGTCTCTCAGGTCTTCGTCTCTTTGTGTCTTACAAGTCTTTAAAAGTTTTCAGTCTTGGTCTGAGTCTCTCGGTCTCTTAAAGTCTCAGTCTTTTTGTCTCAGTCTTTAAAAGTCTCAGTCTTGTCTCAGTCTTTAGTAAAGTCTCAGTCTTTTTGTCTCAGTCTTTAAAAGTCTCAGTCTCGGTCTTGTCTCGGTCTCAGTCTTTAAAAGTGTCTCGTCTTGTTCAGTCTTTAAAAGTTGGTCTGTCTCAGTCTTTTGTCTCAGTCTTTTAAAAAGTCTCGGTCTTGTCTCAGTCTTTAAAAGTCTCGTTCTCAGTCTTTTGTCTCTTTAAAAGTCTCGTCAGTCTCAGTCTTTAAAAGTCTCGTCTTGTCTCAGTCTTTAAAAGTCTCGGTCTTCTCAGTCTTTTTGTCTCAGTCTTTAAAAGTCTCGGTCTTGTCTCAGTCTTAAAAAGTCTTGTCTTGTCTCAGTCTTTAAAAGTCTCAGTCTTGTCTCAGTCTTTAAAAGTCTCAGTCTTTGTCTCAGTCTTGTCTCAGTCTAGTCTTAGTCTCTTTGTCTCAGTCTTTAAAAGTCTCGGTCTTGTCTCTTTTTTCTCAGTCTTTAAAAGTCTCGGTCTTGTCTCAGTCTTTTGTTCAGTCTTTCTCGTCTTTTGTCTCAGTCTTTAAAAGTCTCGGTCTTTTGTCTCAAGTCTTTAAAAGTCTCGGTCTTGTTCTCAGTCTTTTGTTTCAAGTCTTTAAAAAGTCTCGGTCTTGTCTCAGTCTTTTGTCTCAGTCTTTAAAAGTCTCGGTCTTGTCTCAGTCTTTTGTCTCAGTCTTTAAAGTCTCGGTCTTGTCTGTCTCACTTAAAAGTCTCGTCTTGTCTCAGTCTTTAAAAGTCTCGGTCTTGTCTCAGTCTTTTGTCTCAGTCTTTAAAAGTCTCAGTCTTTGTCTCAGTCTCTTCTCAGTCTTTAAAAGTCTCAGTCTTGTCTTGGTCTCTCAGTCTTTAAAAGTCTCGTCTTGTCTCTCAGTCTTTAAAAGTCTCGGTCTTGTCTTTTCTCAGTCTTTAAAGTCTCGGTCTTGTCTCAGTCTTTTGTCTCAGTCTTTTAAAAGTCTCGGTCTTGTCTCAGTCTTTAAAAGTCTCGGTCTTGTCTCAGTCTTTTGTCTCAGTCTTTAAAAGTCTCGGTCTTGTCTCGTCTCTCAGTCTTTAAAAGTCTCAGGTCTTGTCTCAGTCTTTAGTCTTTAAAAGTCTCTTTAAAAGTCTCGTCTTGTCTCAGTCTTTTAAAAGTCTCGGTCTTGTCTCAGTCTTTAAAAAGTCTCGTCTTGTCTCAGTCTTTTGTCTCAGTCTTTAAAAGTCTCGGTCTTGTCTTGTCTCAGTCTTTAAAAGTCTCGGTCTTGTCTCAGTCTTTAAAAGTCTCAGTCTTTTGTCTCAGTCTTTAAAAGTCTCGGTCTTGTCTCAGTCTTTTGTCTCAGTCTTTAAAAGTCTCGGTCTTGTCTCAGTCTTTTGTCTCAGTCTTTAAAAGTCTCGGTCTTGTCTCAGTCTTTAAAAGTCTCGGTCTTGTCTCAGTCTTTTGTCTCAGTCTTTAAAAGTCTCGGTCTTGTCTCAGTCTTTAAAAGTCTCGGTCTTGTCTCAGTCTTTTGTCTTCTCTCAGTCTTTAAAAGTCTCGGTCTTGTCTCAGTCTTTAAAAGTCTCGGTCTTGTCTCAGTCTTTTGTCTCAGTCTTTAAAAGTCTCGGTCTTGTCTTGGTCTCGACTCTCAGAGGTCTTGGTCTTGTCCTGGTCTCTGGACCCTGTGGTGTAATTCGCACGGTGTTTCCTCTCTGTCTTAGTGAAATTGTTTTATGAATGTGAATGTGGGTGGATCATTTAAGTTTGTTTTTTTATTTCCTACGGGGACTCAAATACACACTGAGTAATAATGTGTTTAATACAACTTTGCGCACATTTGTTTACGATTTACAGAAACGAAACTTAAAACCACATGACTCGTTTGCATAAACTATAAACGCTGAAAAAAAGAAAACGGCTCGCTCCTTGTGCGCTGATGCCGTTCAGCTTCCGTTGGACTAAAGGACACGACTCGATGAAATATGTGCGTCTTCGTAGTTTACCAAAGTCGTACTAAAACATTGTGACAGATTTTTGAGCGTCCTGTTCCACATAAAATCAGTTCGAGGTCAGTAAACACGGCCAGAATTAATACGTAAGTCGATTTTTGAGACACTTAAAGGTTGTATAGAGGATTTTTTCAGGGAGGGAAGAAAAATACAGTGACAGTCCTTTGTCAAATGTTGTGCTTGTGTGACTCCACCTTCCTCCTCCACAGCTCCTCAGTAGAAACATCTCCTCCTCCCGCCTCTTTACTCTAGAAATCACACTTGTTTACAGCCAGTGCACGTTCAGAATCACTGTTGAAATAATTTAACAACCGACGCGTCAGTTTTTAGACCCTTCGTCTGCTTCAGTCGCACCGTCGCTGGAAGGAATCTCCAAGAATCACCTCAGTTTGTCTTCGCTTCCTTTTCTCCTTCTCTTCTTCTTTCAGCGACCTCAAAAACCGACTTTCTTTTGCGGCGAACTGGTCGTGGATTCTCGTTCGCCGTCGCGACAAACTTTGTGCGAACTGCGAGGAAGCGACAGTTTAAAAAAAGCCTCTAAGAACCGCCGCATAAACCACGTCATCCCCGCGCGCCGAGAGTCAGTTACACTAGAAATGTAAGGAGTTTGATTGACAACCTAACAGCCAATAGATAAAGAGGGAGCCTCGTTATCTATTGGCTGATGTTTGTCTGGACTCACTACGTCCACAGTTGATAGATTTTCATTCTTTTTTTTGGGTCATCATAATTCCAAGGCTGCTGCGTCTCTGTAATGTTATTTTAAACTTTCAATGACAAGTTGAACCTTAAAAAAAATCCTCCATACAACCTTTAAAGGATTTTAAGTGTGCCTTAAAGTGATTGAATTTCTACTTTGTCGTGGATTCTACTTGGACGACTGAGAGATTCTAAACACAAACCTACATATTTCTTTTTCCCGCATCTTCTCCTCCCTCTCCTCTCTTCGTCTCTTCGTCTCCTCGTCTTTCTAACCAACCCAAATTTCAGACACGCGTTTCTAGAGCATCTCCCCCCCAGAGATCTGAGAGTGGAAAAGGCCAACGCGCTCTTGTAAACGAACGGTGCAGATATTAGAAAGCCCGGACCTCCTCCTCCTCCACTTCTTCCTCCTCCTCCTCCTCCCCATAAAGTCCTCTTCTGCTCCGAGGAAATGAATCTGAGCTTTTACCACTGTACCGCTAATGGAAGCCCTTTCTACAGGCCCCACTGGGCGAGGGAGATGTGCAGAGAATTACACCGGGGAGAAGAACCAGCCACCAGTTTTTGTCTTAAGTATAGCTTGATTTGTTACTAAAAGAAGAGGACAGATGGGGGGGAATAGGGACGAGTGGAAAGGGAAAAGGGTTAGACGAGAAATGAAATAAAAGATAAAAGCGACGACGGGTTTAAGGTCCGGTGGTAAAATGGTCGACCGTGACAGAATGTTGAGCTCAAAACGCGAATATTTGCGGTTTTTGTGACTGTTTTACCGATTTAATTATAAAGAAGATATGATTTTATTTATAACAGCTCATATTTCACTGTTTTCTGATTCTTTTTTTTTTTTTATTTTTTATTTTATTTTTTTTTTCCTATATTGTGGTCTTACGGTCATACAATAATGCCACAAAATGTACAAATATACAAATGCCACATTTAAACCCCCTCCCCATTCCCAAACCCCGATTCACCCTCCCCACACCCACCCTTAACAGACTCTGAAAAAAAAATAAAAATAAATAATAATAATAATAATAATAATAACTAATAATAATAATAATAAAATATAATAATATAATAATAATAATAATAATAATAATAATAATAATAAAAAAAATATAAAAAAAATAATAATAACATGTTAAGAATAAATAAACTAAAATAATAATAAAATAAAAATACAATAAAAATAGTAATATTGACCAGAAAATAATAATAATAAAAATAAAGTAACAGTGATTACATTAATAATGAAATATATTCAAATTACATACCGCACACACTCAAGCACACACCCGTAACAAATGCATTAAAAAAATATATAATAATAATGTAAAATAAAAAATAAATCACATATTTAAATATATGTGTACAGGTGTCCATATTTTCCAGAACATATCTTGTTTGCCATTTCGTTCATAAGTCAGTTTTTCCAGGGGATGGTTGATGATAACTGAGTGAACCAGAAGTCCAGTGTAGGTCAGTGCGGGGTTACCACTTCAATAGGACACATTTTCTTGCCAAAGACGTCATAATCATTAACATAGACTGGGTAATATTATCAAAAAGTTTGTCAGGACAAAGATTTAACAGATACAATGATGGTGACATGACAAACGTTTTTCCCGTCATCTGTTGTGTAACAGCGTGTACATCTCTCCAAAACTGTTGAATATATTCACATTCCCAGAATAAATGTACTAAAGTGTCTGTGCTGTTTTCTGATTCTAAACAAACCTGGAGTTGTGTTTTGTTTCATTCACACATGTTTAAGGCACAAACCCTGCATAGTTTTTCTCTCAAACTAAAAAAAAAAACACTCATGTCATGTGGTAATACAGGAAGTGCTCCACTGTGTTTTAGGCAAGGCAAGTTTATTTGTACAGCACAATTCATACACAAAGTAATTCAAAGTGCTTTACAGAATAAGAAATACATTAAAATCATAATAAAAACAAATCAAAACATACATCGTGAAGATTTAAAAAAAAGAGAGAGAGACATAAATTGGAGAGAAGAGTGCGGAATGAAAACCTTTCAGTTATTTGCACAGTTAAACAGAAATGTTTTGAGTCTGGATTTAAACAGCGTCACAGAAGAGTTTGTCTCACATGTTCAGACTGTTCCAGGTTTTAGCTGCATGAACCTGAAACTCTGACTCCCCTTGTTTAGTCGTGACTCTGGGCACCAGCAGGAGTTGGTCCCTGAGCTCCTCAGAGTGTGAGATGTTCATATGACACTAACATGTCACAGATGGACTTTGGTGCTCGGCCATGGAGACACTTGTACAAACAGAGCTGCTTTAAAGTCTCTGAGCCACAGGAGCCAGAGCAGAGACCTGAGCACAGGACTTATGTGCTCGTACTTCCTAGTTCGAGTCAGGACCCGAGCTGCAGCGTTCTGGATGTTCTGCAGTTTTAAAAGGCAAAGGAGAAATTAAATTTGTCGACTGGACAGGAGTTTATTTGGTCGAATACGTTTGGCTCAGATCTGTACCTCACTGTTCTCAAAGGAAAAACTTTTAGATGCAGATGTACATCAGACTGAGGTCCTGTGTTGCTCTCTCGTCTGGTTTGTTACTTCCTCGTGTGAAGTCTTCAGTTTTCTCTACACTGAATGGAGTAGACCACATTGCTTTGTTTGTGGCTCAGTGTTTTAAAACTCCACACACCTTCACTAGAATCATTTGGATGATTTCAAACCTGGAATTGTTCATCTTTACTAGGCCTGTAATGATAACGGATTTTGCTGGACGATTAATTGACCAAGAATTGATTGCGATAAACTATAATATTGACATTTTGAGACCAATTTCAACTATTATAATGACCATGGAATAAAAATGCAAATACATCCTCTCAATGATCCATAAACCTTACTTTCTAAAGAACATTTAACTGTGCTAAATGCTGTAGCTTTGGAGACTGATAATGAAGATTTACTCAAACATGTGTGAATGAAACAAATCACAACTCCAGGTCTGTTTTTGAGGAGGAAACAACATTAGAACATGGTTGAAGCTCACACAGTCAGTTTTGTCAAATATAAAAGCTTTGAGTGACTGTTGTACTCCATAAATTGTATTTGGAAACACTGTGGACACTGGGTTATTTCTTGGGTCTTGAGTTTACATTTAGAGTTATTTTTGCCCTGACTCTTGCCTTTCCTCTCATGTGCCTTAAATGTTAAAGTTACAGTATATTTCGTGTTATATTTTTTTCCCTGTTTTTGCCCTGACTCTCGCCTTCTCCTCTCGTGTGTCTGTGGCAGGAGTTCATTTTAAACCAGGACTGGAACGACCCCAAGTCTCAGCTGCAGCAGTGTTGCCTGACCCTGAGGACGGAGGGCAAAGAGCCCGATATACCCCTGTACAAGTGAGTACTGCACTACTTTATCTTATATACCCCTGTACAAGTGAGTACTGCACTACTTTATCTTATATACCCCTGTACAAGTGAGTACTGCACTACTTTATCTTATATACCCCTGTACAAGTGAGTACTGCACTACTTTATCTTATATACCCCTGTACAAGTGAGTACTGCACTACTTTATATATACCCCTGTACAAGTATACTGCCCTGTACAAGTGAGTACTGCACTACTTTATCTTATATACCCCTGTACAAGTGAGTACTGCACTACTTTATCTTATATACCCCTGTACAAGTGAGTACTGCACTACTTTATCTTATATACCCCTGTACAAGTGAGTACTGCACTACTTTATCTTATATACCCCTGTACAAGTGAGTACTGCACTACTTTATCTTATATACCCCTGTACAAGTGAGTACTGCACTACTTTATCTTATATACCCCTGTACAAGTGAGTACTGCACTACTTTATCTTATATACCCCTGTACAAGTGAGTACTGCACTACTTTATCTTATATACCCCTGTACATGTGAGTACTGCACTACTTTATCTTATATACCCCTGTACAAGTGAGTACTGTGTCTAATCTATAACATATATGGTATTTTTTGGACTATAAGTCACTCCGGAGTGTAAGTTGCACCAGCCAAAAATGCAAAATGAAGAAGAAAAAACATATATAAGTTGAACTTTTTGGGGGAAATGTATTTTGTAAAATCAGAGACCAGGTTCCAACATTTCCTGTGTAAAGTCAAGTTGTAGTAAAAACAACAGAAGAGTGAACAACAGACTGTTAACGTCACATATGAACAGTTCTTCAGATAAACTATAACATAACAGAACAGAGCAAGTTTAACAAACTCTCCATCTCACTCCAAATCACTAAATCCATTCAATTCTTCATCCTCGGTGTCACTTCTGAACAACTCAACCTCGACCTCTGGAGGTAAACAGAGCGACGCTTCCTCTTCTGTGTCGCTGTCGTAATCATAGACTCTATAAAAGAAGTGGACTGTGTGAGTGTGACGTCACCCAGTGTTCAGCGACGCTCAAATGAGGCTCGTGATGCTAGAGCCAGGTTCTGTATTATGAATAGAATTTTTTTGATGAACATAACAGCAAAAAAAATAAAAAATCAGCATCCTGTGTCGTGGGTTAATACAAACATTTTAAGACCAAAATGACAAGGCTCACAGCAGCAGGTACAGAGAGAGGAGCCACAAGTCAAATTGGAGCCAGAGTCAGAAGAGCCTCCTGGAGAACTTCCTATTTGGCATGCGGCGACTAGAGCCTTAGCTATGTCCACTATTCAGACTCAGCATCAGTTCCAGTTAGAATTATTTGTGTCTTTCTGAATCCCGACAGGATGGTTTCGGTGTCACTGAAGTCCAGGCTTTGTCCGTCCGTCCAGTGACTTCAGGAAAGTTTCATGGTTCATCCTCCCGGTGTCACAAGTTTCTCTCTCACTCCAAACTTTCTTTCTGCTGCTCGATTTCCGTTTTCAGCTGCAGATTTCACGACTTGCAGTTTGTAAATCTGCAGAATCTGATTTTGTTTTCGGGGGCGTTTGTGTTCAGTCGTCTCAGTCTTTGTCTTTATGGTGCAGAAGTAACGGTGCGATCGACTGACACGATACAGACAGAACAGAGGCTCTTTCTGCAGGAGACATGCGCAGTAGTAGTAGAAGTGACAGTGGTGCAGGAGGAACAGGAGCAGCAGATCCTCACACACAAGACACACAGTCAGAAAAAACATTAACTGGAATTCCACAAATCTACAGCGGGACACTTCCTGCTGTCGTGAAAAAAACACTTTATCCCAAACAAATACTGAGAATGTTCAGTATTTGTGGATCATATGTTTGGCGATTTCTTTCAAAAACAATTCTAAACACTTTGAATGACTTCACTTGTCAGATGTGAATAAATAAAACAAACAAATATATGAATAAATAAGGATCCTTGCTGTATAAATGCTGTAAATGTCTCTCAAATCCATTATTTACAGTCTGGGGTTTAATATTTGATGGAACGTTCGGCTGAAGCTCGAGGGTCTGTGAGGACAGACTGAGGTGAGCTCTGAGTCCAGTCACAGACCAGTGGAGGGTTTTATTTATTTATTTATTTATTTATTTATTTATTTTTAATCACATTTCCAAAGAGTTAATTTTATAGAAGAAATAATTTGCGCCTTGATAAAGATCTGTGTTTAATTAATATGATCAAAGATACGAGGGATACGTCTGCAAACTGAATATTACTTTCCCCTGATAAGAGTCGGGACACACACTTTTATGAATGTTTAAATATGAATATAAGAAAAAGAACGTGTGATTCAGTCAAACCAGGGGAGATTCAAAGCTTTCGAGGAGGTAATAACGCTCAGTCTCTCTCTATTTCTAAATACAAATCTGTCTGTTTAGGTCAGTGTTTCCCAAATCAGCAAGTTTGGGTCAAGTCCTGCTCAGTCCTTCCTACAGGGACTAAAAACTGTACTAATACTACGACTCTGCAAAATATTTCAATAAATATTGTACCGTAAAATGCATATCATGATAACAGCACACCGAGCACATCGTTACATCCCGAGTATTAAACACAGTACTCACTTGTACAGGGGTACTGTATTTTTTTGAGTATAAGTGGCACTTTTTTTCATGGTTTGGGTGTTTCCTGTGACTTATATTCCGGAGTAATTTATATATGTTAGGGCAGGGGTGTCAAACTCATTTTGTTCCGGGGGTCGTATCCAACCGACTTTGATCTCAAAGGGGCCGGATCAGAAAACTCATGTCATATAAACCCAAAAATAACAATAAGTTCAAATATTTGTGCAGAGAAACACAAATCTATTACAGAAATCTTTTTTAATTGATGAACTCTTTCTTTTACAAAATATTATAATATTATGAACAACCTGAAACTTTAAGAAAAATACAATTTCAACACAAAGTTTTAACGTGAACTTGTATGTAAATAAGAATAAGTCAATTTTTGTTGTAAAATCCTGCACTCGGCTCCACTTTTCTCATGTTGGACATTTTTCTGATGAGGGTGTCACGGTCAACAGTCAAAACGATCGTCCTTTAAGAGCGTTTGGAAAGAGACAAGTCTTCATTTGTGCTGCTCTGGGGGGAGGGGCCACGTACAGAGACGCTGGAGACGCCGCTATGCTGAGCGGTGCAGAAAATTACCAATATTTTAATAGAAAATATAATAAAAATATTTTAGTAGAAAATCACCCAAGGGCCACATTAAAGGTCTTGGAGGGCCGGATCTGGCCCCCGGGCCTTATGTTTGACACCTGTGTGTTAGGGTGACCATATTTCCATTTGTGAAAACCTGGACACCTTACCGGGGGTGGGAGTCGTCCCTCGCTATACTGCGGTTCACCTTTCCCATGCTTTTTTTTTTTTTTTTTTACAGCGTATGAACACGTATCGCGTATTATGGGCGGGTAGTATTTACTAGGGGTGTGCAAATTATCGCGTTAATTGCAATTAATTAATTACAGTCATATTTAGCGCGTTATGTTTTTTAATCGCGATAATCTCATTTTTTTAATCTCTAACTTTACTGTTTCTACGCGAGTTGCCTTATTATAAAATCTGTTTTTATGTGTTGTTGGGACAATAACACATCGCTTCCGCAAACAATTGTGATTTTCTTTCTCGTTCTCGCCGCATCTGCGATAAACCTGCACACGTCTGAAAACATCACGACACAAACACAGAACAGACTCACCTTCACCTTCAACTCTGTCAGAAAACTCAGATTCCACTGAGTCGAGTCCTTCAGTCCCACAGAAGCTGAACCGCATCAGCGACACAAGAGCTTTTTTTATTTTTTTTCTCGCTTAGTTTATGCAAATTAGCCATGCGGTTTTTAAGTTTCGTTTCTGTGAGATTTGCGCAAATCAGCATTAAACACATTATAATTTCAAACAAGCTGATGTGGCTCTAGAGTTTTCATGGTTTATATGTAATAATAATAATGTAATAATCAATTTAAATGAAAATACCTCAAGTTGAAGCTTTTCTCAGCATTTTTAGGTGAGATTAAAAAGAGATTAATTAGATTAATTACAGATCATAAGTAATTAATCTCTCAATTTTTTTAATCGCCTGACAGCACTAGTATTTACACACGGGTGGGTGAGGACTAAACCAGGACTAATCTTGGACTTGGAGAGAGAACGCCGAGCAGTTTGTCCGCAAAGCGCGATCGGGCAATTGCCGCGTTTACCTCCGTGAGCCGGTCCTTTCTCCTGCGTCACCTCCGAGCCCGACCCGACACCGAGTCGACACCGAGTCCTGTTTCAGATTCAAAACATTTAAGAATATTTTTGAAATAGGTCAATTTTGTCAATGCAACCTCACAATATTTAAACTTTTTTTTTTGCAACTTTTCACAGTGCTTCTGGACAATTCTTTTTAAATCTAATAAAAAATGACAAAATAATTCAAGATAATTTTTAATTTTAAAACCACAGAAAACAGAAAATAAAATCATGCTGTCGCTGTTTATGTTTTTATTCAACTAAATAACGCAGAAAAGACGAGTCCTTTCCACAAACCTCACTTTCACTGGCTGAAATGTTCCGCAGTATGGCATTAAACGTTTCTCTCTTCATGGAGACCAAACCGGAATAAGATACAGGTCAGATCTGTGGAGAGGCGACCCCGCTCACAGTCTGAACGTCTGTTTTTCGAGGTGTTTTTGAGCTCGAAAACCTGCACCTGTTATTGAATATATATTAAGTAGAGCTGTTTAATGTCACACTGCGAAACATTCCAGGTAGAGCAATGACGTCTCCATAGCAACAAGAAGGTGACGAGCCCCCAACCGAAAAAGTTACATAGTGCACAAGATACAAAACATTTAAGAATATTTTTGAAATAGGTCAAATTTGTCAATGCAGCGGTCGCACTATTTTACTTATTTTTATTTATTTTTTTACTTTTTTTGCAACTTTTCACAATGCTTCTGGACAATTCTTTTAAATCTAATAAAAAATGACAAAATAATTCAAGATCATTTTAAATTTTAAAACCACAGAAAACAAAATAAAATCATGCTGTTGTTTATGTTTTTATTCAACTAAATAACGCAGAAAAGACGAGTCCTTTCCACAAACCTCACTCTCACTGGCTGAAATGTTCCGCAGTATGGCATTAAACCTTTCTATCTTCATGGAGACCAAACCGGAATAAGATACAGGTCAGATCTGTGGAGAGGCGACTCCGCTCACAGTCTGAATGTCTGTTTTTCGAGGTGTTTTTGAGCTCAAAAACCTGCACCTGTGATTGAATATATATTAAGTAGAGCTGTTTAATGTCACACTGCGAAACATTCCAGGTAGAGCAGTCTCTATAGCAACAAGAAGGTGACGAGCCAGAACCGAAAAAGTTACATAGTGCACAAGATACAAAACATTTAAGAATATTTTTGAAATAGGTCAAATTTGTCAATGCAGCGGTCGCACTATTTTACTTATTTTATTTATTTTTTTACTTTTTTTGCAACTTTTCACAATGCTTCTGGACAATTCTTTTAAATCTAATAAAAAATGACAAAATAATTCAAGATCATTTTTAATTTTAAAACCACAGAAAACAAAATAAAATCATGTTGTCGTTGTTTATGTTTTTATTCAACTAAATAACTTAGAAAACTCGAGTCCTTTCCACAAAACTCACTTTCACTGGCTGAAATGTTCCACAGTACGGCATTAAACCTTTCTATCTTCATGGAGACCAAAGCAGAATAAGTTACAGGTCAGATCTGTGGAGAGGCGACCCCGCTCACAGTCAGAACGCCTGTTTTTCGAGGTATTTTTGAGCTGTAAAACCTGCACCTGTGATTGAATAAATGTAAAGTCGAGCTGTTTAATGTCACACTGCGGAACATTCCAGGAAGGGCAATGACGTCTCCATAGCAACAAGCAGGCGACAGACCTCCCAAACCATAATTCACTGGACAGTTAATAATAAATATACTTTAAGTCCGTTTTTTCCGTCCTTTCCCTTTCGGCGTCTTGTCGCGCTCGTGGTGTTTTGTTACATAAACCTGCGTTCGTTCGCGACAACAGGTCAGAGGTCAAGTGTCCTCCGACAAAACACTCTGAGGCCTGCCATAAAGAGGTGTGTGCGTCGCCGTGGAAACTGACAATCGAATGCAAAAAAAATAAAATAAATAAATAGTACCAAAAAAAATAAAAAGAAATGCAAGGTCACGGCTGAATCGGAGCAGCAGTGAGTTGGGGATTTGTGTTTGTGTCTTTAGACTTTATATTATTATTTATGTATTTAAAGGTGTATTGTGTAACTTTTTTGGTTGGGGGGGGGCCTGTCGCCTGCTTGTTTCTATGGATACGTCATTGCTCTGCCTGGAATGTTCCACGGTGTGACATTAAACAGCTCTACTTTACGTTTATTCAATCACAGGTGCAGGTTTTATAGCTCAAAAATACCAAGAAAAACAGACGTTCTGACTGTGAGCGGAGTCGCCTCTCCACAGATCTGACCCGTAACTTGGTCCGGTTTGGTCTCCGTGAAGATAGAAAGGTTTGATGCCACACTGCGGAACATTCCAGACAAAGGAATAACATCTCCATGGTGAAAAGTTACTTAATGCACCTTTAAGTATAAAAAAAAAAAGACCCAGACCCAACTCATTTTGTCCTGTGTGATTTATGCCTAAATTATTTTCAGTATTTTGAGCTAAATAAAATAAATAAATAATGTAAATGTATAATAAATGTAAGACAGAACTGTTTAATGTTTTACTGTGGAACATTCCAGTAGTGTCATAGCACTCGAGACCACTTTTGTACTCTCTTGGACTCGTCTTGTCTCAGTCTTGTCTCTGTTTTGAAGGTGTTTGGACTCGGTCTTGTCTCGGTCTCGATGGCGCTTGGACTCGGTCTTGTCTTGGACTTGAAGAAGCTCGATCTTGGTTTTGTCTCAGACTCGAGCGCATTTGGACTCAGTCCTGAAGGCACTTGGACTCGGTCTTGTCTCGGTCTTGTCTCGGTCTTGTCTCGGTCTTGATGGCACTTGGACTCGATCTCGTCTTGGACTTAAGTGCATTTGGACTCCGTCTTTTCCCGGTCTTGAAGACGCATGGACTCGGTCTTGTCTCGGACTTGAGTGCATTTGGACTCGGTTTTGATGCCGCTTGGACTCGGCCTTTTCCCGGTTTTGAAGACGCTTGAACCCGGTCTTGTCTCGGTCTTGAAGGAGCTTGGACTCGGCCTTTTCCTGGTCTTGAAGACGCTTGAACCCGGTCTTGTCTCGGTCTTGTCCCGGTCTTGAAGACGCTTGAACTCGGTGTTGTCTCGGTCTTGAAGGAGCTTGGACTCGGTCTTGTCTCGGTCTTGTCTCGGTCTTGTCCCGGTCTTGAAGACGCTTGAACTCGGTGTTGTCTCGGTCTTGAAGGAGCTTGGACTCGGTCTTGTCTCGGTCTTGTCTCGGTCTTGTCCCGGTCTTGAAGACGCTTGAACTCGGTGTTGTCTCGGTCTTGAAGGAGCTTGGACTCGGCCTTTTCCTGGTCTTGAAGACGCTTGGACTCGGTCTTATCTCGGTCTTATCTCGGTCTTATCTCGGTCTTGTCTCGGTCTTATCTCGGTCTTATCTTGGTCGTGTCTTGGTCTTGTCTCGGTCTTGTCTCGGTCTTATCTCGGTCTTATCTTGGTCGTGTCTCGGTCTTGTCTCGGTCTTATCTCGGTCTTGTCTCGGTCTTCTCTCTTGGTCTCGGTCTTGTCTCGGTCTTGTCTCTCGGTCTTGTCTCGGTTTCTATCTCGGTCTTATCTCGGTCGTGTCTCGGTCTTGTCTCGGTCTTATCTCGGTCTTATCTCGGTCTTATCTCGGTCTTGTCTCGCTCTTGTGTCGGTCTTGTCTCGGTCTTGTCTCGGTCTTGTCACGGTCTTGGGCTCTTGGGCTCGGTCTTGTCTCGGTTTTGAAAACTCTCGATCTATTATATCAAGATTTCAAAAGTCTTGGTCTTGGGTCTCGGTCTTGGTCTTGTCTCGGTCTTGTCTCGGTCTTATCTCGGTCTTGTCTGGTCTTGTCTTCGGTCTTCTTGGTCTCGGTCTTTGGTCTCTCGGTCTTATCTCGGTCTTGTCTCGGTCTTGTCTCTCGGTCTCTTGTCTCGGTCTTATCTCGGGTCTTGTCTGGTCTTGTCTTCTTGTCTCGGTCTTGGATCTCGGTCTTGTCTCGGTCTTGTCTTGGTCTTGTCTCGGTCTTTCTCTCGGTCTTATCTCGGTCTTGTCTCGGTCTTATCTCGGTCTCTTCTCGTCTCTCTCTTGTCTTGGTCTCGGTCTTATCTCGGTCTTGTCTCGGTCTTGTCTCGGTCTTTATCTCGGTCTTGTCTCGGTCTTGTCTCGGTCGGTCTTTGGTCTCGGTCTTATCTCGGTCTTGTCTCGGTCTTGTCTCGGTCTTGTCTCGGTCTTGTCTCGGTCTTGTCTCGGTCTTGTCTCGGTCTTGTCTCGTCTCGGTCTTGTCTCGGTCTTGTCTCGGTCTCTGTCTCGGTCTCTAGCAGGTCTTGGTCTTGGTCTCGTTCGTTCTCTTTTAACACCTTGTACCTTTAAATCTGCTCTGTTTTTTGTGTTTTCTCATGGTTCTGTTTTGTGTTTTTTCTTTTTCCTTCAGGACTCTGCAGACGGTCGGCCCGTCTCACGCTCGGACCTACACCGTGGCCGTTTATTTTAAAGGAGAGAGAATCGGCTGCGGAAAAGGACCGAGGTCAGTCCCGGCGCACGTTTGCTCAAATTATTTCAAAATAAACTGGAAATTTAAAATAAAATCTGTGAAGAGGAAAAGAATAAATGTTTTTCAAGGTACATTTTGACAATAAAAGAAAAATAAAAAAACACATGAAATTGATTAAAGGTTTAAACCGTGTTATAAACTTTCACTCTTTCTCTCTTTCTCCTTCTCTCCTTTTTTCTGTCTCTATCTCTCTGGTTTTCTTTTTCTCTCTCACCCCCTTTATTTTTTCCTTCTCTCTCCCACAAATTCCTCCGTTCTCCTCCATTCCAAAGCCTTCTGTGTCAGTTTATTTTGTTTCTCTCCATCTCTCTTCTCTCTCTCCTCTTCTTCATTCCAGTTCCCTCCATACTGCTTTAATCTGTGTTCCTTCTCTTATTTTCCTTTCTCTCCTTCTCTCTCTCTCATTTCTCTCTCACCCCCTTTTCCTTCTCTCTCTGCTTCTCTCTCTCTCTCTCCCTCCCTGCCTTTATCTCTCTCACATTCTCTTTCTCCCCCTTTCGCTCTCTCTCTTTCTCTCTCACCCCTTCTTTCTCACGTTCTCTTTCTCCCTCTCTCTCTCTCTCTCCTGTCGTCTTTCTATGTCTCTCTCTCCTGTCGTGTCTCTCCCTGTCCCTCTCTCCTCTCTTCTTTCTCTGTCTCTCTCTCTCTCTCTCTATTTACCGTCGTTAAGTCTCTCTCTCTTTTCTCTCCTGTCGTCTGTCTCTCTCCTGTCGTCTTTCTCTCCTCTCTCTTTTCTCTCTCTCTCTGTGTTTCCTGTCCTTAAGCGTCTCTCTCTTTATCTTGTTGTTTTTCTCTCTCCTCTCTTCTTTCTCTCTTTTCTCTCTCTCTGTGTGTCCCATCCTTAAGCATCTCTCTCTCTCTCTCCTCAGTCGTCTTTCCCTCCTCTCTCTCTCCTATCATCTCTCTCTTTGTCTCTCTCTCTCTTTGTCTCTCTCTCTCTCTGTCTGTCTCTCTCTCTCTTCTCTCTCTCTCTTCTCTCTCTCTCTCTCCTGTCTGTCTCTCTCTCTCTCTCTCTTCTCTCTTCCTCTCTCTTTCTCTCTCTCTCTCTCCTGTCTTTCTCTCTCTCTCTCCTATCATCTCTCTCTTTGTCTCTCTCTCTCTTTGTCTCTCTCTCCTGTCTCTCTCTCCTCTCTCTCCTATCATCTCTCTCTTTGTCTCTCTCTCTCTCTTGTTCTCTCTCCTCTCTCTCTCTCTGTTGTCTCTCTCTCTCTGTCTCTCTCTCTCCTCTCTCTCCTCTCTCTCTCTCTCTCTTTGTCTCTCTCTCTCTTTGTCTCTCTCTTCCTTTGTCTCTCTCTCTCCTCTGTTGTCTCTCTCTCCTCCTTTGTCTCTCTCTCTCTGTTCTCTCTCTCTCTCTCTTTCCCTCTTCTCTTCTCGTCTCTCTCTTTCTCTCTCTCTCTCTTTGTCTCTCTCTCTCCTGTTGTCTCTCTCTCTCCTTCTCTTCTCTTTCCTCCTCCTCTTTCTCTATCTCTCTCTTTGTCTCTCTCTCTTTGTCTCTATCTCTCTCTTTGTCTCTCTCTCTCTCTTTGTCTCTCTCTCCTCTCTTCTCTCCTTCTCTCTCCTCTCTCTCTCTCTTTGTCTCTCTCTCTCTTTGTCTCTCTCTCTTTGTCTCTCTCTCTCTCTGTCTGTCTCCTCTCTCCTTTCTTCTCTCTCTCTCTCCTGTTTCCTCTCTCTCTCTCTCTCTCCTTCTCTCTCTCTCTCTTTCTCTCTCTCTCTCCTGTCCCTCTCTCCTTCTGTCGTCTTTCTCTCTTTCCTGTCATCTCTCTCCTCTCTTCTTTCTCTCTCTCTTCTTTTCTTTCCCTCTTTTCTCTCTCTCTCTCTCTCTGTTTCCCATCCTTAAGCGTCTCTCTCTCTCTTGTCATCTCTCTCCTCTCTTCTTTCTCTCCTCTCTCTTCTCTTTTTTCTCCTCTTTTTTCTCTCTCTCTCTCTCTCTCTTTCTCCGTCCTTAAGTCTCTCTCTCTCTCTCTCTCTCTCTCTCTCTCTCTCTCTCTCCTCTCTCTTCTCTGTCTCTGTGTTTCCGTCCTTAAGCGTCTCTCTCTCTCTCCTGTCGTCTTTCTCTCTCCTCTCTTCTTTCCCTCTCTCTTTTCTCTTTGTCTCTCTCTGTTTCCCATCCTTAAGTGTCTCTCTCTTCTCTCGCTCTTTTCGTCTTTCCCTCTTTTCTCTTCTCTCTCCCTCTCTATTCACCGTCCTTAAGCGTCTCTCTCTCTGTCTCTTTCTCTCTTCTCTTCTTTCTCTCCTCTCTTTTCTCTCTCTCTCTGTGTTTTCTGTCCTTAAGCGTCTCTCTTCTCTCTCCTCTCTTTCTCTCTCTCTTTTTCTTTCTCTCCTCTTTTCTCTTCTTTCTCTGTGTTTTCCGTCCTTAAGCGTCTCTCTCTCTGTCTCTTTCTCTCTTCTCTTTCTTTCCCTCTTCTTTTCTCCCCTTAAGTGTCTCTCTCTTTTCTTTCTCTCTCTCTTTTTTCTCTTCTTTCTCTGTGTTTCCCGTCCTTAAGCGTCTCTCTCTTCTCTCTCCTGTCATCTCTCTCTTCTCTTCTTTCTCTCTCCTCTCTTTTTTCTCTTTTTCTCTGTGTTTTCCGTCCTTAAGCGTCTCTCTCTTCTCTCTCTTTCTCTCTGTCTCTCTCTCTTCTCTTCTTTCCCTCTCTTTTTTCTCTCTCGCTCTGTGTTTCCCGTCCTTAAGCGTCTCTCTCTCTGTCTCTTTCTCTCTTCTCTTCTTTCTCTCCTCTCTTTTTTCTCTTCTCTCTGTGTTTTCCGTCCTTAAGCGTCTCTCTCTTCTGTCGTCTCTCTCTTCTCTTCTTTCCCTCTCTTTTCTCTCTCGCTCTGTGTTTCCCGTCCTTAAGCGTCTCTCTCTTCTCTCTCCTGTCATCTCTCTCTTCTCTTCTTTCTCTCTCCTCTCTTTTTTCTCTTTTTCTCTGTGTTTTCCGTCCTTAAGCGTCTCTCTCTTCTCTTCTTCTTCCTCTCTCCTCCCTTTTTTCTCTCTGTGTTTCCGTCCTTAAGCGTCTCTCTCTTCTCTCTCCTGTCGTCTCTCTCTTCTCTTTTCTTTCTCTCCTCTCTTTTTTCTCTTCTCTCTCTGTGTTTTCCGTCCTTAAGCGTCTCTCTCTTCTCTCTTCTTTCTCTCTCCTGTCCTCTCTCTCTTCTCTTCTTTCTCTCCTCTCTTTTTTTCTCTTTTTCTCTGTGTTTTCCGTCCTTAAGCGTCTCTCTCTTCTCTCTCCTGTCGTCTCTCTCTTCTCTTCTTTCTCTCCTCTCTTTTTTCTCTTTTTCTCTGTGTTTTCCGTCCTTAAGCGTCTCTCTCTTCTCTCTCCTGTCATCTCTCTCTTCTCTTCTTTCTCTCCTCTCTTTTTTTCTCTTCTCTCTGTGTTTTCCGTCCTTAAGCGTCTCTCTCTCTCTGTCTCTTTCTGTCTTCTCTTCTTTCCCTCTCTTTTCTCTCTCGCTCTGTGTTTTCCGTCCTTAAGCGTCTCTCTCTCTTCTCTTCTTTCTCTCCTCTCTTTTTTCTCTCTCTCTCTGTGTTTTCTGTCCTTAAGCGTCTCTCTGTCTCTCTCCTCTCTTCTCTCTTCTTTCCCTTTTTTCTCTTCTCTCTCTGTGTTTCCCGTCCTTAAGCGTCTCTCTCTTCTCTCTCCTTTCTCTCTCTCTTTTCTTTCTCTCCTCTCTTTTTTCTCTTTTTCTCTGTGTTTTCCGTCCTTAAGCGTCTCTCTCTTCTGGTCTCTTTCTCTCTTCTCTTCTTTCTCTCTCTTTTCTCTCTCGCTCTGTGTTTTCTGTCCTTAAGCGTCTCTCTCTTCTGTCGTCTCTCTCTTCTCTTCTTTCTCTCCTCTCTTTTCTCTCTCTCTCTGTGTTTTCTGTCCTTAAGCGTCTCTCTCTTCTGTCATCTCTCTCTTCTCTTCTTTCTCTCCTCCTCTTTTTTCTCTCTCGCTCTGTGTTTTCCGTCCTTAAGCGTCTCTCTCTTCTCTTCTTCTTTCTCTCCTCTCTTTTTTCTCTTTTTCTCAGTGTTTTCCGTCCTTAAGCGTCTCTCTCTTCTCTTCTTTTCTCTCCTCTCTTTTTTCTCTTTTTCTCTGTGTTTTCCGTCCTTCAGCGCGTCTCTCTCTCTCTCTCGTCACTCGTCTCTCATCTCGTCACATTACCGTCGCGTTCGTCTCGCACTCGTCTTTTCAGACTCTCCTCTTTAAGCTTTTCTCCAAACAAACCCTCTGCTCTTGAGCCTAATCCTCTCGCACTTTTACTTCACGCACAAACAAACGGCTGATTTAAAACGGCTCAGACTCACGACGGTAATCCTGTTCTGAGTGGAACAGGTGACACTCTGAACAATGCAACGTCAAGATTTTTATTTTAGAAACAATCAGCGGCACAAAAGAAGCACAAATTAAAAGAAAAACGCGTCATCTTTAAAGTGAAATTAAACACTAAACGCACTTTTGTTTGCTCATTAACCGTGTTTATGATGATGTAAGAACATTTTCTACTCTTTTTATTGATTTTATTGCTTCAAACGACGTAGATTTGCAGCTTTCTGGTCAAAAAAACGCACGTCTGACTCTTAAGTTTGTGCTGATTTCAGTGGCTTCTGCAATTTCAAGTACTATGTGACATTACACAGCACTGCCCCGATTGCAACCCGGTGTTTCTGATGCAAACATTTGGCTGCAGGGTTGGAGTTTGAAGTGTGGATACCGATATTTTCGATGGTTTCACTCTCAAACTCAAACTGTACGACCAAATTACAGGTTTTAAAAGTTCACAGATCGCGATTCATGTTCTCACAGTAAACGAACGACTTCAACAGAGCGAAACCGTCACGATTCAAACAGTTTTGATATTCTCACGACCTATGATTGTGGATTGGGAGCTGGTCATGAGGGATTAATCGGTTCTAGTTGCCTCAAGTTTACTACACAAAACACGACAAAAGTCAGATCCCAAAAACGGTCACAAAAGTGAAAAATCAGCTCAAAAAAGGCCAAAAATCGCACAGTTTATACCCAGATTTAGTCCAATCACACGGTTCCTTATACCTTTTGAGCCCCGCCCCCCTTCCCCTTTAGTCCTCCAGACCCCGCCCTAACCCTTTAGCATAATGTCTCCACCAAGCCAAGACACATTTTAGCAGAATTTTCATGTTTTTGCGATAAATAACTCAATGGATCAGTATCTACAGTTGTTTTAAATCAGTATTGTGATTCAAAATGGACAAATGTCAAATATTATGATATAAAAAGAATATGATTTTAACCCTCTCTTTTCTGTGTGTAATTCCTGTAGTATCCAGCAGGCGGAGATGGGAGCTGCGATGGACGCTCTGGACAAATGTGAGTGCACCACGTCCAACACTAAACTAAAAATCAGCGTAGCCGCGGGGTCTTAAAAGTCTTAAAAAGGTCTTAAATTTCATGTTCCTAAATTAAGGCCTTAAAAAGTCTTAAATTATGTTACCTAAGTCTTATTTTTTTCACAAAGGTCTTAAAGGTTGTATAGAGGATTTTTTTAAGGAAAGAGAAATCCAGCGTGACACCTTCCTCCTCCACAGCCTCTAGAAATAATTTAGAGACCGACACCTCAGTTTTTAGACCCTTCGTCCGCTTCAGTCGCGCAGTCACTGAAAGGAATCTCCAAGAATCACCTCAGTTTGTCTTCGCTCCTTTTCTCCTTCTCTTCTTCTTTCAGCGACGTCAAAAACGGACTTTCTTTTGCGGCGAACTGGTCGTGGATTCTCGTCCGACATCGCAACAAACTTTATGCGAACTGCGACAGAGCCACAATTTAAAAAAAGCCTCTAAGACCCGCTGCATAGTTACCTTAGAAACGTAGGGAGTTTGATTGACAACCTAACAGCCAATAGAAAATGAGGCAGCCTCGTTTTCTATTGGCTGATGTTTATCTGGCCTCAACACGTCCACAGTTGATAGATTTTCTTTTTTTTTTTTCTGGTCATCATAATTACAAAGCTGCTGCGTCTCTGTAATGGTGTTTTAAACTTTCATTGACAATTTGAAACAAATAAAAAAAATGCTCCATACAACCTTTAAATTTCATTATCCTATTTTTTTGTAAACTCAACCATTCTGCAGTGTGATGTTAAATGGAAGGAGGGACAAAAAACAACAATGTGAAATAATATAACGTGAATGAACGTCTAATTTGGAGTATGCACCAAAAATACTTTGGTTTGTGGCGCCGGCGGCAAAGAGTAAAACCATCAGTAGAGTGGAGGAAGACGCTAGATGGATCATGGTCAAGTGTCGGTTTAATCCACAGCAACTCTGAGATTCTATAGCAGTTAGTTGGTCTTTGTTCGAATTGGATCTGCTGTTTTTCACCCGCATAATGGGTGCGATGTTGGTCTTAATTTTCATTTATGTGGTCTTTAAAATGTCTTAAATTTGGGGTAGTCAAACTTGGGGAAACCCTGAAAATGTTCAGATCCAGCACTGATATCTGTATCGAACACCACTTGAGGCATGAAGTGAGTATTGTGGGTTTTTTCGGAAGGTTCCATGCGTGTCCTAAAAAGAAGCACAGGAGATGGAGAATCCAAAGAGAACAGGCCACTTTATTTCGTCATTTTCCATTGAGAGGGATTCAAGTTGATTACCAAGTACAACTGCCACCCCGGAACGACACCTCAATGACCAACTCAAAATCAGGGGTAGCTTTATACTACATCTTGACAAAACATTAACTTGTTGATTTAGCATATACAGCAAGAAAATGAACAATACTGCTGACCCAGTGCACCTTATCATGGGTGGAAACATGCCACAAGACCACATATGTCAGTTTTGCTGCTCCGTGGCATCTCAAAGTCCAGAAAAACATGTTATGTAGACCTATGGATAATCACACGTGTTTTTCCACCCTGTTGTCATTCCAAAGTCCATAATGTTAGGTGAATTTAGCATGACCACCACATAATTTCCCACAGTATGAAGTTTCTTAGTTTTAGTGACTCGATGCACTGCAGACGTACAAACGCCCAGAGGAGCAGATCTGTAAGGAACATTTCTCTATTCAGTAACAAAATACACTTTAATACACTGTGCAAAAACAATACTGACATTTATTAAAGGTTCGATATTACACAAATCTGACTCTTGTGAGGTTTAAGTCGAGTTATAAAGTTGTTTCCTCCTCAAAACAGACCTGGACTTGTGTTTTGTTTCATTCACACGTGTTTGAGTAACACTTTATTATCAGTCTGTCCACATCTCCAAAGCTCAAAATGCTCTGCTCCACCTTGTGATGTCATGAAGTGGTGGTTTTCAAGTTTACAGCTCCGTTTAGTCCAGTTGAGATTGAAAATTCAAGAGCTGAAATCATCCAAATAATTCTAGTGAAGGTGTGTGGAGTTTTAAAACTCAGTGGAGCTGTTCGTGTATAACCACATGGTGACATCACAAGGTGGAACGAGGTGTTTTCTGTTTGAGGGAGGAACTCAGCCTAAGTGTAAAAGGTTTGTGTGTTAAACATGTGTGAATAAAACAAAAAAATACAACTCCAGGTCTGTTTGTGATGAGAAAATGACAGAAAATAGTGTAACATGGACTCTTTAATATTGGGCAGAGTTCCCACAGTCATTGAAATCCTGGAAAAGTCATGGAAATTTAAAGAATCATCTTCCAGGCCTGGAAAAGTTATGGAATTTTAGTATCTTTTCCACACAGTTCCAGCTTTCTGTTAAGTTCTCATTAGACTGTTATGATTATTTCTGAACATCTGCACCTTTTGTTTAAAATAGACGATATTAAATGCACTGACAGGATTTTAAATGTTCCAAAACTATAATCCCAAACCATAAAGTGAGTGGAAAGAGTTCACATTTCAGATTTAGACCTAAAAGTCTGATCATGACATGTAGAGTCATGGAAAATTCACTTTAGGTCATGAAAAAGTCATGGAAATGTTTTAGAAATTTTGTCCGTGAAAAAGAGTGAGAACTAGGGATGGGAATGATTAATCGGATTAATCAATAATTGATCATTAAGAATTTCCTCGATTATGTTCATTTTTTATCGACAAACAGAATGTAGGTCACTGTGCGTAACGTAAGGTGACCAAACGTCTGCTTTACCCTGGACATGTCCGTTTTTCACGTCCTGTCCCGGCCGTCCAGGTTTTTTTTTTTTTTTATAAAGTGATGCAAATGTTCAGGTTTTCTTTTCTTTTTTTATTTATTTATTTCATTCATAAAGCATAAAAAGGCATCAACAGTCTCACAACATCAGACACACAAGAAATGAATGAAAAGGAGCAGAAAGAAGAAAAAATCTGATGTTATCTGCCCCCTTTTCCTTTTTCAAGACAAAACATCAACATCGATCGTCACTAAACTTTCCAAATCAGTTCAGGCACAATTACTGATCAATTGCAAACAGTAAATCTTCATTATTAATCACAACTTAGTTTTCTTTTTCGTACAAACACACTGCATTCGATTTTATATATTTTTTTAAATGTCGTCATTGTACTTGATTCTTTTGTTTCTTTGTCAAGACTTTTCCATAAGTTTAACTCCTTTCACAGCGACGCTTCGCTCCATAACCTGAGTTCTGAATCTGGGTTTTTAAAACATGTCGGTTCCTTTTAAATTGTCGTGTTTTGTTCTCATCTCAAACAGGCTTTGAATATTTACAGGTAACGCACTGCACTTTGTTTTATACATGACTTTGAGGAGATTTAAGTCAACAATATCCTGCATTTTCAACACTTTAAGTTGAACAAATCATGGGTTGTTTGTCTCTCTACAGTATAATGACTGTCGGTGATAATTCTCAAAGCCCTTTTTTGTAAAATAAATAAAGGTTGTAGGTGAGTTTTACATGTTGAACCCCAAATTTCCACACAGTCCATCAGATCTGGTGCATTTATAGAGTTATACAAAGTTAATAATGCTGTACTGTTTAGTGAGAACTTTACTTTATGCAGAACAGCAATGGCTTTTCCTTTCACTGGGACGTTAGACGGAAAGTCTCTCGACGTGATCAGACACAAACAGACAGTCAGCAACACGCTGAAGCACAAATGCACATTTAACGATGACTTGTACCAGAAATTCCACGCGTGAGTGTGAGTCCATGTGCACAGTGAACAAAACAGCACATGTGTCGGTGTCCAGTGTGTCAGGGACCTCACAGCACCAGGACACCGAAAAAAGATTAGTAGTAATAATAATGATGATCATTTTAATATAAAAACATTAATCATTAATCGATAATCGATCATTAATTCTCCTGACAATCGATTAATGAAATTTCATGGAATGCCCGTCCACAGTGGGAACCCTGAACATGATTCTGTTCAAACTCGTCCAAAAGAATCGACAAAAACACTGAAATATGAACTAAGGTCGTCAAAAGTTTAGAAAATCTGATACTAATTGAAAAAAACTAATATCGAAAGTAGATCCTCATTTAGTTTAAAAGTTTGACTGAGTTTAAAAGCACAGTGGAGACTTTTTTGGATTTCTGTTTGAGAGAAGAACTCAGCGTAAATCTGCAGTTTTGCGTTTTAAACGTGTGTGAACAAAACAATAAAAACACAACTCCAGGTTTATGTTGTGAAGAGGAAACATTAAACCTCAGAAAATAGCGCAGTATTGATCCTTTAAGAAGAAAAACTAAACTCAGGGGACCTTTTGAGAGAGTTAATAAAACGATCTCTGGAAATATTTCACTCCTGGGCTCCGAATCAGAGGCGGATATTGTTTATTTAATCTTCCCGGCAACAGAACTCCCGTCTCTGCCGCGATTGGTCGGTAAAAATCGGCTCCCAAACTCGGCGCCCTCACATTAAGATGTTGTTACCGCAAAGTTTTGATGTGGTCCGAGCAAATGGAGCTTTAATGCGATGTTATTCCGACGCGGCCCTCCTCTCACACTCATTATAATTACGCCCAATGAGTTTATTTAACGAAGTACAAAGATCCGAACCGCAACCTGGAGCCGTAATCAAGAGGGGCACTGTACGAACAACGCCCTCGCTCAGCACTCCTCTGGGCTCGACGTAAAGGGACACTAAACACCAAAATCACTGATTATCTGAGTAAATGTGTCTAAAATAAAAGTGTGTACCGATCCCTGGCCTTGTTTTTGGCATTTTAGTGCAGATTTGTTAAAAAGCCGCGTCTGTAACGGCCTCTTTAGAGCAGGGGTCAACAAACTTTTTTTCTCTAGAGGCCACATTTTCTCTCCTGACTGTGACGGGGGTCGGGGTCGGGTCGGGGCCGTAACAGAATTGTTTGACACTGACGACGCAGATTATATTCTTCGAAAAACCTTCACAATTTCTTTACATGTCAGACAAACTGCACACT